ATGGGTTTTTCTATGGGGGTGTTGGTGTATGAGGTTTAGAGTGGGTTTTTCTATGTGGTTACCTATGGTTCTTCTAATGGTTCTATTATATGGGTTTTTCCTATGTGTCTTTTGGTGAGGTTAGGGTTGAGGTATAGGTTGTTATGGTTTTGGGTCTTCAGGTGGCCTAGGGGGGTGGGCATGGTTAGAAAATGGAAATGGTCATTGCTAACTTATACACCCTCAACCCTAAGCCCTGAACCCGGAAAGCAAGCCTTACCCATAGGGCCTCCGCCAGAGTGGCATTCCCAAGAAGATGACCTATGCAGTAGAGAAGAGGCGATCAAAAAGAGAGAAAAGAACCCTCTGAACCCTCGGCCAACGCCCATCTGGGCTGTAGGTTAGGGTTCATGGTGTCTGTAAGCAGGTTATGACAAGAAACACTGAAAGTCCTGTTTGCACCCTTGTATCCCCTCTGAGGCGCCTATACACCTCAGATAAACCCCAAGGCGCCTATACACCTCAGATAAACCCCAAACCCCAAACCCTAAACCCTAAACCCCCCCCCAAAAAAAAACAAAAAACACTAAACCCTACACCAGAAGCCTGAAATCAAGCCGCTGTGTAACTTTCCTTTCCACCAGCCTTCAAGTAACAAGAGGTCTGACCAACCAATATCTCTGCCCAGTCATGGTGCCTATATAATACAGCCGAATATAAATAATATAGGGGCCTTAATAATTTGATAGGGTTTTGGTGGGCATTTATATCACACCTGTAATAAGGAACCCCCAAAATAATTTTGGTAATTATTTAGGCCCCCAGAGTTAACCAACATACTCCCGCTGAGCCCGTGACACTGTTGATGATATAAATCCTGCATTACCTTAAGGACCCTAAACTATGGAATTTACTATGGAATGCAGGGTTTATATCATCAAACCTATCAACATCGAGCTAACCCAACCCCCTGAAGCCTTGAAGACCCCTATCCCAACGTCTAGGTCCTTTTTGGCGGACACCCTAAACCCTAAACCCAAGAAGCCCAATAGGCCCACCATAAACCCTAAACCCTAAACCCTATAAGCCCTATAAGCCCTACAAGCCCTATAAGCCCACCCAAAAACCTCAACCGGCGGACCTTTCCTCAGGTTCTTTCAACCAGAGTCGCCTTTTTGACCATTTGCGTCGCCCACTCAGCAGGGTGGGTGGGTTCTGTAAGGGGTATCAGGTGGCTTACTTTGAGGGTTAGACCACAGCAGATTTGGGTTATAGTTTCCCTGGCCCAGCCGCACTGGGCCGCACTTCTAGACTTGCTAGATGCCATCCCCGCAGACACCTGAGAGCAACTGCACGCACCTGTGCCTGCCATCGTCCCAAACAGGCAGTTTCTGCCTCGCAAAAGCCAACATCGCCCGCCGCAACCTTCGAAAGATGGAGAAGTACGATTTGGCAGTCGGCCCGAGCACGAACCCGGATGCCGGGATGGGGCTGTTCACGACCAAGCAGGTCAAGGCAACGACGAAGTCCCCGGTCAAGGGGCCTGGAGCCTTGACTAGCTTTTGGGTTATGGTGTTTTTCCACCTGCACCTGCTGTGCAGCCGCGCAGCCGAGGCCCTTTTTCGTGAGCTACGACTGAGCTTTGAATTATTGCCAGGCCGTGTCAGAACGCATCGTGAAAGTTGTTGGCCCCAACTGGACAAAGTGGATGGTCATGACGGGCATGTGCGGCTATGCCAACCATTTCGAGTCTGTGGTCTCATACCAAGCTAGTCACAGTGCCGGAAAACGGCCTTGGCGACCTTAAAGGAACCCTATTCTAATTATTGAGCCCTCTACAATATTGTAAGGGGCATCAGGTTGCGGGTTTCCGCGCCTTGGGATTCTTCCGAGGTTCACTTTTCAGCCTCGTCGCTTTTGCTTGAGGTCTATGGGCTTTGGCTATACTTCTATGTGTGGGGTTCTGAGGTCTATGGTTTTGGCTCGTTTTGGCTATACTTCTATGTTTCAGGTTCGGGGTTTGAGGTTTGGGGGTGGAGGGTGGGGGCGCCTTGGCGTTGAGAATATGGACTGAGCGCTCGGGGTTACATTATCATTGGCAATTTGCTGAATAGGTTTTTCATAAGATCTTGTCAGGGTGTGATAGGGTTTTCAAGATCTAGATTGTAAACCTATTGGCCCTCAACCCTAAACCCGTAAACCCTAAACCCTTAAACCCTAAACCCCCTAAGTCCCCTGATGAGTCATTCCTTCCTCAATGCCACACCCCTCGACCTTGAGTATGGGTCCCTAATTAACAACGAAGGCCCGGAACCCTAAGCCCTACGTAGGGTGTAGGGGTTTTAGGGTTCAGGGGTTACATCCATAGCCCTACATCCTAAACCCTAATTCCAAGCCTGAAACCTAGATGCCTTAAGCCTCTAAGCCTCCGGGCCTGACTCCTGAGCCATAGTGGATGCCAGTGCGTCAGTGTTGATGTTCAGGCTACCCTAAACCCTAAACCCTAAACCCTAAACCCTAAACCCTAATCCCTAATCCCAGACGGTTCCTTGAGATGGATCAAAGAATTGGGTTCAGGCTTCAGAGTGTCGGGTCTGGAGTTTAGGGTTTAGGGTTCAGGGTTTTAGGGTTTAGGGTTTAGGGGTTTAGGGTTTAGGGTTTAGGGTGATGACGACCTGCAGCAAGCCCTTTGAACAGACGGCTGCAGTTGCCCTATCGCCCTCAAGACTGCTTACAGCAGCTACGTGCAAATGGCTTGGGGCAAAGTGCGGAGGTGTCGGGTTTCGTTTTTGGGGGTGCAGGGTTTGTTGTGTCGCTCAACTTAACTTGGCGGGTTCTGTAATCTTTCATACTTTGTGGAGTTTTGGGCTGAGGGTTGAGGGTTTAAACTAGGAGCCTGAATACTTGCAGGTAAGCTGGACTAGGGTTTGGGGTGTACTTAAACCTTAAACCCTAAACCCTAAAGCCTAAGCCTCTACTATCCCCAGGAATCCAGTCTTCGCAGCAACCCGTCCGGCCGTTGCATAAGGCTTTCAGCGCCGTGATACGGTTGATGATATCAATCCTGCATTACCCTAAACCCGAACCCTAAACCGTGCATTACCCATGCTAAGGAACATGCCATTATTCCCATAGTTTCGGGTCCTTAAGGCAACGCAGGATTTATCTCATCAGCGGTAGGTGGTGGTCGTCCTGCCGCTCTTCCAGATCTGGCAGTATCCGGAGATTGACGATTCCATGGGTGCTTCCCTGAGATTTCGAGCCTGAGCTCTCCAGTACCGTAGGAACCTGGTTAAGAAACCCAGAAACCCTGGCCCTATGACCCCAAAATATTAGAATTCATCTTAGGAATCCTGACAAAGACCCAAGGTTTCTTGAGTAATATAGGGGCCTGAATGGTTACCTATACTTTTGTCGGGGTTCCTTATTGTGACTCTCGTATACTGTGCCCCCCAAACCCTATTCTAATTCTCAAGGCCCCTACATTACCCCTTTGCCCTTTTGCTTTTCAGGTTCCCTTCCATAAACCAAATTAGTCAGATGCCTATGAGGGCTTTACAAGCGTTCTATACTAGCTACCAGCTTGATAAGAGTTCTAGAAGGCTTTTAGAAGATGCCTATGAGGGCTTGAATCAAAGTTTTCTGTACGGGTTCGAAATGAGTTCAATGAGAGGGCTTTGCAAGTGCAGGTTTTAGTGGCTTGGGGTTGGACCAAGAACTCTGGGCGCTTCAAACCCATGATCCAGTCCAATGGCCAAGCAAAGGCAATGATGTAGGGGCCGGAAGCGCTGTTAGCATTAGGTTCCTTACTTTAGGCTTGACAGGCCCGAAATCCTATCAAGATTAATGAGGTCCCTGAACCCTAAACCCTAAACCCGACTCTTGATCAATTGAGCAGTAGGCTTGGGGACGACAGCTTCGTCCGAGCGCAAAACCCCTAAGCTAACACAGCAGACCCAGGACTCTAAACTAGGGTTTAGGGTTTAGGGTTTAGGGTTTAGGGTTTAGGGTTTAGGGTCTAGGGTTTAGGGTTTAGGGTCTAGGGTTTAGGGTTTAGGGTTTTAGGGTTTAGGGATGCAGAAGCCAACACAAATACACACATTATTCCCCTATCGTCCCTTTATGACTAGACGCCCAGATCTTGAAAGCAGAGTTTACCCACGTATAATCACAGGTATACGTTGCTCGAAACAGCCTTTGGGTCACTAATATAGGGCCTTAATAAATACTTAGAACAGGGTTTGGGGGTATATTATTTCATAAGAATAATCAGGAACCCCCCCCAAAACCCCATTCTAATTATTAAGGCCCCTACGTTAAACAAAACCCCATTCTAATTATTAAGGCCCCTACGTTAAACCCGAAAACCCTGAGCCGTGGAGGATGCAAAGTCGACCCTTGAACCCGTCTCCTCGAGCTCTGAACGAAACCTTATGGGAACCTTGCAAGAACCAGTAGGGACACCCTTACATGAACCCTGAAAGAAAGCCCTAGAGGAATCCGCAAAGAACGCTACTACCGCCATTATGGAGCGAACCCTTATAGGGACCCTATGATATGACAAGAACCAGAACTCCAAGAGGAGTCCTTCACGGAGCCGTGTGATAGCACCTGTCAAACCGTCCCAAACACCGAGGCACGTGGGCCGAGCTCTTGAACCGCGATGCCAATCAGTATCGACAGGTCGGCCTCATAGCTTGTGTTGAGAGTTTGGTAAACGGCTTCTTTGCTACAGGTTTCTTAGGGTCTTGGCACAAGGGTCGTCGTACACGGATGTTTAGGTATGATGTTTTTTGGATTGGAGGTTTGTAAGAGTTTAAGGGTCGTGAGTTTATTCGTGTCTGCGACGAATTCCGGAGATGTTGCTCCGTTTGTAGGCCGACCCTAAACCCCTAATATGAGGGCCTTAATAACTAGAACAGGGTTTTGGGGTATATTATACTATAGTTACAATAAGGAACCCCCAGAACCCTATTCTAATTATTAAGTCCCCTACATTAGCCTCAAGAAGCTACCGGCATGTGCATGATGTGTTGATTTTTGTGGCACTTCAATCAGTCTCCAACGCACCCCCTACAATCCTTGAACCCACCAAGCCTAAACCCTAAACCCTAGACCGTGACCCCTGAACCCTGAACCCTGAACCCTAAATCCTAAACCCTAAACCCTAAACCCTAAACCCTAAACCCTAAACCCTAAACCCTAAATGTACCTCAGGCCTACCTGGCAAACAATGTGACGGAGATGCAGGCGAATCCTGTTTAGGGTTTAGGGTTTAGGGTTTAGGGGTTTTGGGGAGTCTTAAGTGGCGGCAGTTTGCTATGTAATCATCAAGCTGCTTGCGAAGTGATCGGGTACACTGTGAACCCCAAAACCTGAACACCAAAACCCTTGAAAGGTGCACCCTAAACTTTCAGATGGGATAGGGAAGGGGACCGAGTCGGCAAAGAGTGCCCGGGAGCTGGAGATGGTTAGACGAGGTGCTCATGACAAATAATAATGTGCCGTTGGTTTGCTTATGCATTGGGCTTGTTGTTCGTGAGGCCAGGTTTAGGGCCCTAAACCCTAAACCGTGTTGTCGCCCGTAGAGCTGCCGGGCATTAGGTAGGTTCAACATAATTACGCGAGCTGTGCTTGTTCGAGCGCAAAGGGTATCTGTAGTCTCCCACACACATACGATCTAAGCTCCCCCAACATGCCCTAAAACACCCAGAACCCCGAATAGTTCAAAGCCTCAGCGATACGGGTCCGTCCACTATGAAGATGACCCTGGATGCCGATCGTTTATTCGCACGCCCTATCTAAATGGCCATACGGTTGATGACTTAGATACTGCAAGACCAATAGTAAGGAACATACCAGAATTCCCGTAATCTAGGGTCCTTAAGGTCATGCAGGATTTCTATCATCAACAGTAGTATCATAGTAGTGGGATCCCTGTCCTTCGGTATACCCATCAAGTGCTCGCTATACGGGCAGTTTTCTAAATTTGGGGTACTTTTTAGGTCCCCCATATAGTACGGCACCCTTATAAAAAGGACCCCCAAAGAGCTTAATTTAGAGAACTACCCATACGTTACAGGTACTGATTTGGGGCAGGAGTGTTATCCCCTGGCATAGTGACGCGGAAGCACACGATGCGACATGCGGGGCCTAGCAGCCGGTGTAGGCTTTGGATGTAATAGGGTTTAGGGTTATAAGGTCCTTTATACTAAAGAACGGACATCTAGAAAACACGTAGAATGGCTGCAAACTGGATGTGTGAAGCGAACGTCCATTTCAGTCGTATTGCAGAAATGGAGAGATAGTTGAATGTGGGGAATGCATCCAT